ATATATATATATATATATATATATATATATAGGGGAAAGGGGTTTACGGGTGTGGGTAGGATTAGGTTAATTATTATTTTATTATTAAAATCTTTATATTTATTTATTGAACTGTGATGTCTATTTTACTCGCCACGCTTTACACGTCAGTCCAAATTTAACAAACTATATACTGTTGGTCACCATTTTACGAGATCTACCCGAAAACCCAATTTTTATTTAAAACGGACAACTTTACAAATAATTCATATTTCTGAGTAAATAACTATGGTATTTATTTTTATTAAAAATAACGGCTAACTACTAAGTCGGTTTTTGGGTCGTTACACCTAAAATGAGTCATTCTATTTGATAAGTAGAAAATAATAGGGGAGAAAATATTCAAAGTATTCAATGGTTCTCGGAGATTACAAGAGGGATTTCTCCTTTATTTATAAGAGAGAATAATACCAAATCAGAAAAGGAAAACAACTCCTACAAGGAAACAAAGTAATAATCACAAACTAGGAAACTAATCTAGATGAATCCCATGTGGAATGTGATTTGGTCTTCTACCGTGTGGTCCAAGGGACACGGCCTAACACCCCCTAGAGCTAGACCATGCAGATTCTGAATGCCCAGCTTGGACAGCAAATGTAAAAATAGAGAGGAAGCCAAATCCTTTGTAAACAGATCTGCCGGTTGATCATTGGTGGAGATGTGCAGAGTACACAAAACACCTCTTTGAATTTCATCACGCACAAAGTGGAAATCAATCTCAATGTGCCCCCCTCGCCGGGTAGCGTGAAGGGGAACATTCTTGGGAGGAAAGGCATCCATCCCGTCTGTTGGCACATGGCTATGATTTGGCCAAATCCCTAGATCGCCTGCAAGTTAGCAGGGCCATTGACAAACTGTGTCATCCCTTGGGCCGATTGAAGGCATGAGGAATTAGGCCATCTGTTCGATAGACGGTGCGAGGATAGAGTGGGTCGTGATGTGGCTAACGCCTAATGGAATCACAGCGGTAAAGAGAGCAGCCTGGGAGGTGACTTCCGGAACAACCATCCCTTCGGTGGCGGCCTGTCTCTGGATGGAATTGGTGGTATTTTGCTGGCTGGTTGATATGGTTTTTATAGGTTGTGTTTCATGGGTGAACCTCCTCTAGACAGAAAAAGAACTCAAACAGGTCGCACGGATGATGCCAAAAATGATGGTGTAAATTACCACCCGGACAAACTACACTAAACTGAGTTTAAGGTGATTTGCTGAGTTTAAATATTGAAAAGACTCAGGAAATGAAGGTTGACCGGGAGTACTGTAGGGGGGAACAAATGTAGTCCATTTGTTACTAAGTATGGGAAGAGTACATGGTGATATTACACAGTATGTGTTTAGAGAAATGAAATTCTCATCCTTTCTATTGAGGGTTACAAGGCTATTTATAGTAGAACCTAGGGACAAGACAAAGAATGCCCACGTCGGCCCACGTTCCTGGACGGTGCGAGGTGACTTCCCTTGTCACGTAGAGCTTGTCATACTCATTTGTCGGCTTGTTCTAATGGCACCTCTCTTGGCACATAGTGCTTTGACGAGAATATCTGAATATTCTCCGCGATCTTCAGTTACTACCGTCCAACCGCGCTTGGATTATTCTTGCTGACACATGTACGCCCAAACTGACCACCCAGTACGAGTCCCGAAAACCTTCCTGGGTGGTTTCTTGAAGGAACGTCTGATCACTAGAAGATCCCCAAGCACTGTTATGCTAGTTGATCGGGTGCCGAATAGTCACCCGGGTGGTCTGGCTGAACCCCATTCGGACAGGGTACAGATCCACCCAAATAATCCTGCTGCACAGTACCTGGACCTTGGCCGAGTGGTCTTGCCTGAACCTCATACGGGTCATGGTCTAGGTGGATTACACCCATCAGTTGGTAAAAGCCCAACCCAACCTGGGTAATGGCATATACCAACGCACTAAATACCGTGCCACCTGTTGTATGGTGTTTCTTGTACATCCATAACAAGTACTCATTTACAAGTAGGGATGACAATTCAACCCGAACCCGATCTAAACTGAGAATGAAATAATCTAAACCCGACTCGAAACATTTTACCCGAAACTGACATCGAGTTGGATCGGGTCGGGTGTGGGTTTATAATTTACCCAGCCCGCACCCGACCTGAGTCAAACCCAAATATTTTATAACATAAAAGCCTATCTATGGATATAATGAGCACTCTATATAATCTCTTGAGAAGGTGCTACTATATCAAGTATGTCTTTTATAATTATTTTTATAATTCTTTAATAAAAATGAGACAAAAAAGAGACACAAAAAATTAGATTTAATAGTTTTAAAATTATTGGGGTACGTCGAATTGATTATTGGTTAAATCACGGATTCGGGTTTGGGTTTCGAGTTTTAATGTCGGATTTGGATCGGGTCGGATTTTTGGCTTAAAAAATCAGGTTTCAGGTCGGGTTCGGGTATAATACTATCTGACTCGGACACGACCCGTTGTCATCCCTATTTACAAGTAACAAAATACTTATTCTCGAACAACTGAAAGCTCATTTTCGAGTATCTATATATAGATTTTTATAAAATTGAGTTAACTTCAAATATGCACTTGAATACAATATGCACTTGAATACAAAAGTACCCTATACAAAATACTCCCTCCGTCCCGCTATATTCGTCCACTTTTGACTTTTGGAACTGTTCATCTAAGCACTTTGACTCATTCAATTTTCTCAATGTGTAAGCCTAAATATAGTAATGTGTGATCTTGTTTGATTTGTCTTAACATATAGATTATTAATATATAATTTCTATAATTTTTTAATATACAAATTACAAGATAAAATGGATTAAAGAAGTGCATTGGATGGTGTGTAAAAATGAAAGAATACTTACTTTTGATCATTTTAGCAATTGAATGAAAGCTGAGCCATTCTTGCCATGGCTTCTTCTGCGATCTCAGCCCCAGCTCCATCTCTGTACTCCTCTTCTACTCACTCTCCCTCTTTCCCCATCAGCGGAATCAAAAGGAGGCTGAATCTCTGTACTCGTTCCAGTTGTTCCATTGCAGGCTCCCGAGTTCTGCTCTGTAATTGGGTGCCTCACTTGGCTCTCGTCACCCCCTTCTCTTCCTGGGCTTGCGGCATTTCCACCCTTCGCGTTCCTAGAAAAACAGGTACCGATTCCATGCCGTGTTTCCGTTAATTTTATTGATTAATGGGAATTCTGTTTCCCAGTTTTGCTTCGATTCTTCAATGTTAATCTGTTGCATTTCTGAGTGCTGGATTGGGGGGTGATTCTGCAGAGAGGAAAACAAAATGGAAACGTGGAATTGTGTTTGCTTCTCTCTTTGGAGTTGGAGCTCCGGAGGCGCTTGTGATTGGGGTGGTAGCTTTGTTGGTGTTTGGTCCCAAGGGTCTTGCCGAGGTAAGACTAGGGTTTCATTTTTCCTTTTTCAAATAAGTCAAAGAAATTTCAAAATTTGTGATGTTTGATATAGTACTTGATTTGTTCACAACATCATTGTGTTACTGTGAATTATAGGTTGCTCGCAATTTGGGGAAAACATTGCGGGAATTCCAGCCTACAATCAAAGAACTCCAGGTAATATGTCTGTATTCTTTGGGGCTTCTGCCTTGTAGTTATTTAGAGACTGGTGTTTCTAGTTTCCAAGCCAAGGGTGTCCAAAAAACAGCTTCTCTGCCTTTTTAGGGATGACATTTACTCACCGTCCCCATACCCTACTTCTAGGACCTTATTGCTTATTGGGTTGATGATGATGATGATGATGATGATGATGATAATGATGATGATGATGATGATGATGACGATGATGATGATGATGTGTCCGTTTGGGAAAAGATTCCGCGTTTAGTTTTTGCATTTTTAAGAGGCTATCTATCAACAGCATTTAGCTTTAGCATTTTGAAAAAGCTATCTAACGGCAGCGTTTAGCTTTAGAATTTTCAAATTTAATCTACACCATTAAAGAATAATCTCAAATTCTATCGGTAATTAAATATTGTTCCCAATTCCCAAACAAAGCTGATGATGTATATTGTATTCTTGTGTAGGAAGTGTCACAGGAATTCAAGAGCACGCTTGAGAAGGAAATTGGTCTTGATGACATAAGAGATTCAAATCAGAGCCCGTTCAGGACTGATAGAACTGCATCGCGAAGTGGGGTCTATAAGGATTCACAGACTAAGACAGAGCCCCCTAGTAAGCAAGTATTTGCATTGGAAATTAATATCCTATACATGTACATATGTGTTGAAATCTGGGATGAAAGATCTAGTAAGTTGTCATTGTTTTTAAAATTAATGATCAATTTACAAAGAGAAAAGGCCATGCGAACTTTCCTACACTGATGATGATATGATTTCATAACACATTTGTTCTCTGACTTTTTAAATGGAAATATTTTTATTGTGTTTGACTGTTCAGTCCTGCTCCATTATGTTCATGTTCATTTTGCAATAACGATCATGTAGCATGACATGATTACAGCAAATATCTCGAGTCATCATCGAATTCGTCATTCCACGTTATAATATGATATTCTCTATGCAAATGAAAGAAAACCTATGGTTCCAGTTTTCGGACATTATCTCATTTTCTCCTTTCATAAGAAGGTTGCGATAGAAAGGGCATCCAGCATAAAACTTTTTTGCCATTATAATATTTTTGCATGAATTTAGTGTTAGAATATTACTCTGCACCATAAATATTTTGCCTCTAATTTTCCTTTTGAGGTCCAAATTATCATTTTCTACTGTAATTTCTTCCGAGAAGCCTGTTAACTGAGATTTTGAAATATTTTCCACCTCCCCTCTTGCAATAGCAGATGGTTCTCCTCAATCACCAACTGTAGAATCAATTGATAATAAGTTGAAAGACATAGAAGAAGGGGAGCCAGCTGATATGACGTCTTCTGTCGAAAATCAATTAGAATCCCAAGTGAAAACAGAAGGTTTGGTTTATCAATTTTCCTCTTCTTCCTTTAAAATTCTATGATTGGTAACATTATCTGTTACCTCAACTCAGTTGGAAGGACCCAGAAATTGCGACTTGTTTTCTGGCAGCTGGAAAAAACAACCAATAAGTGTGGTTTACATTTTTTAATTTGGCGTAAAAATATGTTGTTTTTATCTGTTCGCTCGTGTGTATTGATTATATATATAAATTTATAGTGGCCTGGTTCCTGAATGACAGATGGTTCTCAGTCGTCCCCAACCGAGCATCCTCAGGTGGAGAAGATATAAAGATCACTGGAATGCATAACAGCATCAGCTAATGGGTTTTCGGGAAAGCTGATAGTGAGTGTAATGGGGGTGTTCTTATTCCAAACCAATTTTTGCGAAGTAGAGATGCACATAAAGCTTGTTAGGAGTAGACGTTTGCCTAATCTGCATTACAATACGGAGTAATAATAATAATGCATGTACCTTGTTTAATTGTATCCATCCATGCCACGTTTATTCGTCGTACTTTGGATTCTTGAGCTGGCTAATTGTGTTAACCTGTCAAGTAGAACAGATTTGAAGGTTGCCGGTTACAAATTTCAAGTTCACAAACGATATTCCCTTGTTCCTTTTTTTTTTTTTTAAAATCTTTTTCGTTTTTGAATCGTCCCTTATTAGTTTTCCTTTTCCCTTTGAATGAAAGAGATGCGTGGTGCATAGTGATTCTTTTGTTTCTCCATAGATTTAAACATGTAGAAACAGAAGAAACCTGGTTTGGTCAACTGTTAACTTTTTCATTTGATATGGTTTGTGAAATCTATTTTGGAACATACAAAATCCTGTAGTTGTATTTTGTTTAACAGAAAAATGTTGTTAGCTGAACATTCTCTTTCTCATTAGGAGATAAGGAATGTGAGGTTTTTTGGGATTGTCTGGGGAAAGGGCTACATTTTTTTTGGAATGGGAATAGTTGCAACACTAGAGTTGGTACAACATTCGAACTCTCTCATTTCACCATTTTCTTGCGATTTATACATTAGAAGAAATAGACACTCGAGATCTTATAGAGACTCGAGTCACAATTCAATTTTTTAAGTCAAAGTATGACATCTTTTTATCATAAACTATACTCCGTATTATATAATTTTGAATAAATAAACATAAAAAAATTTGATATATCGATACAACATTTTTAATAATCCCAACCTTGTTAAATTTTCATTATAACTAAGTATACTATACTTTAAATTTGTAGTAAAATAGTGTCACAATTTGACTAAAAAAATCAAGTTGTGATTTTCTTTTTTAGAAGGGAAATAAACTTTGAAAAGTCAAAGGAACATTTTTGCACGTCTATTTCCTTTTCAAATCCCTTCTTGCCTATATAAATATTCACTCTACCCGTGGATTACTATCATCTATTAATTTTTAGTTTCTACCCAAGTTTAAAAATGAATTTAATACTCAAATTTTAAAATTCATTTCATACGTAGGATTGTCACAATTATTTCGATAGAAATAATAAAATGTGTTATTCAACTTTAAAGTTTATTTTTAAATCATAAAAATGATCCAAGTTTTAAATGACTATAATTTTTAAATGCAATCAATAAAAATTGATATCTTGCATTTGCTTTTTTAATGTATTTGTTTCTAATTTCTAACATAGTGTAATTGTTCAACTTGATATTTTATAATCTAATTGATTTATAATATTATCAAATTTTATGAAAAAAATTTTTAGTTTTAAATTTACTTTATTTAATTACTATATATTTGTTTTTGTGCAAGTGATTGCTGCATATTTTTATTTCAGTATTCTCTAAATACTCTGTAAATTTCATTTTGTACCGTTAGTTGTACTACTCATGTGGAGTTTTTTTTATAGGGGGTAGCAGTGTAGTTTACAAAAAAAATTCAAACTTCAAATTTCTTTAAATATTATGTTTTGATTTAATAATCTACAGAGTATTTGTTGTTAATTGCACCTTTAGTTAACCTAATTAAACGATTTCATATTTGAAATTTTAGTCGTGCAACGCACGGGGGTGATACTAGTAGAAATGTAAATATCCGTTGAATACGTATACAAATTCGAATATCTCAAAATTTAATCGGATTTGGATTCAAATATGTCATATTCTTCGTTGCGGATATTATCTGTTTACAACCCTAAAGCTCACAGAATATTGTACTACGATTCAAGAATATCACCATAGAAGATATAAAGAAAATCGTTGTGAGAGTTAAACTAAAAGATGAAAAATATTGTACTACGGTTCAAACTTACATATCACGTTGTATCGTTCACATCTTTACATAATACGTACGTGTTGTGCACATGTTGTATCGTTCACATCTTTACATAATACGTACGTGTTGTGCACATGTCCGAACTTTACTAATAGAGAGACTAACTTTACAACAATTCTTTGATAACAAAGATTTTTATTTCTTTTTTACAATTTTTTTTTGGACAAAAGTACAAATTTTTCATTAACGAGCAAACACATTATAATGTTAATTACAGCCAATCATAGCTTATTTAATCTTACAAAGAGAGTAGTACTTAATATAGAAAAGGGCATTTTTAATAGCTGCATCAATCGAGTATGATTTCCCATGAACCATATCATTTCGCATCTTCCATATGTTATACAGATCTGCTGCCCAGGTTGCTGTTTTAATCATCATTTGTCTCTTCGTCCCTGTACTCCGCAGGTCCTCTTTAAGCTGTCAAGTGTGTTGCACATCATCTTCAGCCCTTGGCCCCTGAAGATGATCTTACGCATGTTTTCTGTGTCTTTGCATTCCATAAGCAAGTGACTTGGTGTTTCCGGTTCCCCACCACAGATTCCACAGCTCTCATCGATATCAAGAAATATTTTCAAGTAATTTTTAGTTTTAAGTCTATTTTGGTAGAACAGTCACATAATCACCTTATGTTTAGGATGGACAGCTTTGTTCCAAACCCACTCTGTCCAATATGGACTTTGTCTATTCCCAAGGAGCCATTCATAACCTCTTATGACACTAAGGGGGTGTGTGTTTTTTGGCCAGAAGAGCTTCAAGCCTCTTTTGTCTGCGCCGCGCTGACGCGCGCAGATGCTGAGCTCTGCAGATTGTTTGTTTTTTGGAAGACATTTCACTCAAAAAGGTCTTCCTGACATCTTGTTGGAGAAGACATTAACCTATGTCTTCTAACATCTTCTCCATTTTTTTCTTCTACTTCTCTTCACCACCACCACCGTCCACCACCATCACCACCGTCCACCATCACCGTCACCGTCCATCACCACCGTCGTCCACCACCACCGCCACCGTCCACCACTACCACCGTCCACCATCACCGTCACCGTCTGTAACGCCCCGAAACCCGGCCTATCAGAATTAATTAATTAGGAATAATTAATTACTTATTGAGACGGACCCGGTACGAATTATGTATATATTTCGTTTGGAAATAATGATTATACCGTTATGTAGGGTTCGACAAATCGAATCCAACGGTGAAATCGGATTTGGATTTGGAGTTAGTGGGCCCGGAAAGTGCGTGTGGGCCAGGTACGTTTAGTTAATACGGAACCCAAAACCCCAAAAGTATAAATATACTCCTTGCACGTCTAAAACCTTACGCCCCATACTATTGTTACGTAACTTCTCCCCACTCTCTCACGTCTCTCTCTCTTGCGTCCCACTCTCGCCGAACGGAACAGAGCTGAAGGACGAACGCAGCAGAGGAAGAAGAAGAAGAAGAAGAAGGAAGAAGAAGGAAGAAGTAGCCGTCGTTCGTCTCCACGCCGCTAACACCACCTCGGTAATCTTTAATCGTCGAATTCGAGGTGAGTACGTGGTCATCTAACGTATGGTTATATTCGTAGGTTTGAATCTTACGTTCATAGAATCGTTACGGTTGATCTACGTGGTTTTTACGTGAATTGTGCTTTGTATATGTCGTTTGTGATTTGGAAAGCATGATTGATGTTACAATGATTGTGGAATGGTTAGATAATGTTAGGTTATTGATTCATGATCTGTTACGTTTGTTTTCACTGGAACGGATGTTGTCTAAGGGACGAAAACGGAGCTGGTGCAGGTCTGGTGTTCGCTGCGACACACGGTAGGGGGGTACCGTTGACAGGGTACCTGGTTACCGCCAGCCGCCCTGGTTTCGTTCCTCTCTGTCGGCACCTACTTAGGACGGGACCCAGGTGCCGTGTGGACGGTAGGCTCTACCGTCTGACCGGTGGAGGCTACCGTGATGGGCTACCGGAGGGGACCCCAGCTGACACGGACGGTACCCTGGTGCCGTGGGGCCGGTAACCCCTACCGCCAAGGGGTACCGTGAGGTACCTGAACCGGTCTGCGTTTTGTTGTTTGCGTCGACGATTGATTCCGAGACTTTGTGCGTTGCATGACGGTAAACATGGGTAGTGATGCCCAGCGTTAGGCCGCTAATTGAGTGTATTGAATGTGACGAAATATGTGTAGGATGCATGAACATGCATGCTATAAACTAATGGCGATTAAAGTATGAAATACCTAGAACAAACCTAGGATCTGACCTGAATGGAAATAGTGACAAGATATGTCATAAGTTAGTAAGTTAGAGTCATGTGGTACCTGCTGGGTCCAATGGCTGTCCGGGTAAAAACGTGTACACGGGGATCTAAGAACTGTTGTTCCGAAGGGGACAGGGATCTCACCCACCCAACGAGGAACTCCCGAGTTGGTTGAGCTTGACCTTCGTTCCAAAGGGGAAGGTCATGACTCCATAGGCAAGTCGTTTACAGTTAAGTTTTTACCTAGTATAGGTTAAGAGCCGAGCACAGGAAGAAAGTAAAACAAAGTAAACAAAGAAGAAAGTATTCTTTATTATTTACTGTGTCCATTAACATCCTATGATGATATGCTTGCGATGTATGTTATACACTGTATGATGTGATGAATATGTGAGCATGATTGTGTGCATGATATCGTATGAGGATATGGGCTAGTGGGATCATCTATGGGTGTAGCTATATGTTAGATATTTCTCACTTAGCTTTAATGCTGAGCGTGTAGCCCTTTTTCCTATTTGTTACACGTAGGTAATCCAAGTAATGATGAGCTTGGAGCCAATCTCGGAGGGCGATGAGGAGGCTGAGATGTGCCTTGCGGTGTTCGACGATTTTGAACTCTTATTAATTACTTAAATAACTTATTACTATTTCGGGCATGACTCCCAAGTTGTGTTTTGGATTATGAATTTAGCTTCTGCAACCGTTTTTGTTTACTCTGATGGATAATTAAATATTGTTTTGAATTAAATGTTTTAAATTGATTCGGAAAATTAATGTGTTTGAATACCAATTTGGTAGCAACCCGATCCGCGGATCCTTGTATTCGGGTCGCACGGGTTGGGGTGTTACATTTTGGTATCAGAGCATATGGTTTTAAAACTGATCTTCGGATCATAAATAGATGGTTTCCAAAAGCTGCACCACATCTCTTGCGACTCATCAGCCCCGGGAAGGTAATAAGTTTATGCCTTTGTTTGTTATGTGCTAATGACTGATTAGGAATTTATGTGTGTAAATTTAGAATGAGTAACGCATCGACGCACGCTCATGACAACACCCAGCACCTGGGTGACGACCACAACGATGCCGAGACAAAGGCATCGAGCTTCGTGCCACAGCAGAATGCTGGGCAGCCCAACGTGCCACTGAATGCAGGAGATAATCAGAATTTCGGGAATCTGCCCGAGAATGTCATGCTTGCTTTCATGACCCAGTTCCTACAGCAGATGGCCAACGCGCCGATGTTCCAACAGCCTCAGCCGCCACGACGGCACATCACCTTCAAGACGCTGAAGGATAACGGAGCGGAGGAGTTCCTTGGGGATAGAGTGGCCGAACCTCAAGTGGCTCTTGATTGGATTGAACAGGTGACTAGGGTGCTCAATGACCTGGATGTACCGGTTGTAGATCATCCAAAGTTGGCATCTCAGCTACTCCGCAAGGGAGCATACGAGTGGTGGAAGCGCGTTGACAGTGAACCGCAGACGCCAAAGCCTTGGACATGGTCATATTTTGACTGGGCTTTCAAGAAGGAGTACATTCCAGCTCGATTCCGAGATGAGAAGCGGTCAGAATTCATGGAGCTGGAACAGGGGGATATGACCCTTGCCGAGCTACGATAGAAGTTTGATCACTTGGCTCAGTTTGCACCCACGTTGGTGTCCACTCCTGCTGACAGGATCGAAGAGTTCAGGAAGAGGTTGCGCCCCGGCGTGCGACCTTATGCTTCTACCGTGGTCACCACTGACTTCTCAGAGGCGTATGATCTCATAGCGAAGGCGGAAAAAGCCGTGGACGATCTGAAGGCAAGCTTAGGTGCTGGAGGGACAGTCTCTAGCCAGCGACCCACTACCAGCGTGGCGCCGAGCGGGAAGAGATCCTTTGGAGGTACTAAGGGTACCCAGAACCTCAAGAAGACCAAGTCCGCACCGGCTCGGTCACAGGCAGCGAGCAACCGAAGCAAACCTTCCAAACATCCAGTGTGTAACCTTTGTGGAAGGAACCACCCTGGCGAATGCTGGTTCGCGCAGGGCTTATGTTTAGGATGCGGGAAAGAAGGACACTTCCGCAAGGATTGCCCAACTAACCCCGGGCACGCCTTTCCCGTAGCAGAAGTGCAGACACAGACGGCTGGTCAGAGGCCAGCACAGAGCCAGAGGTCTACCGCGGGTTCCAACCCGCCAAGAGGACAGAATCAGAATCAGAACTGCCAGCACGGACACATGTATGCGCGCACCTACGCCATGCAGGGGCGTACCGAAGTGAACCGCGACGTCATCTTGGGTATGTTCTCACTATTTGACACTCCTATGCTTGCATTAATTGACCCAGGATCTACGTTGTCTTACATATGTGTTCCTATGCCTGAGAAATCTGATATCCAGAGGGGTGATCTGGAATACCCTATGGTAGTATCTAACCCGTTAGGACATAACATGCAACTCCATCATCTGTACCGCAATTGTCCGTTGACGGCCCACGGACACCAGTTGTCCGCGAATTTGATCGAGCTACCATACAAGGAATTTGATATTATCCTTGGTATGGATTGGTTGACCGAGCGTCAAGCGATAATTGACTGTGGGTTGCGCACCGTACGGCTGAAGACTGACGATGGTGACGTGGTAGAGGTTAAGGGAGAGTTGTTCCCTAAGCCTCCAGAATTTATGTCTTATATGCAGGCAAAGCGGCTGATCCGGAAAAAGTGCGAAGCGTTCTTGTGCCACGTTCGCGATACTGGGAAAGAGACCCCCAAGCAGAAGGATATCCCCACAGTGTGTGACTTCCCCGATGTGTTTCCCGACGACCTCCCTGGCTTGCCACCGCCAAGGGAAGTGGAGTTCTCGATTGATCTGGTTCCTGGAACGGAGCCAATCTTTGCGACGCCATACCGCATGGCACCTGCGAAGATGAAGGAGCTGAAAGCCCAATTGCAAGAGCTATTGGACAAGGGATTCATCAGGCCGAGTGTGTGCCCGTGGGGAGCACCAGTCCTTTTCGTCAAGAAGAAAGACGGATCCATGAGGCTATGCATCGACTACAGGCAGTTGAATAAGGCTAGAGTGAAGAACCGCTACCCATTACCGCGCATTGATGACTTGTTTGACAACCTCAGGGGAGCTACAGTGTTCTCGAAGATAGACCTTCGATCAGGTTATCATCAGATTCCCGTGAAGAAAGAAGACATACCGAAGACAGCCTTTAGAACACGCTATGGACATTATGAGTTCACGGTGATGCCGTTCGGGCTGACGAATGCCCCGGTGATCTTCATGGACTTGATGAACAGTGTCTTCCGTCCCTACCTAGACCAGTTTGTAGTAGTGTTCATCGACGACATCTTGGTGTATTCTAGGACACCAGATGAGCATGCGAAACACTTGCAGACAGTACTTGGTGTGCTAAGGGAGCACAAGCTCTATGCCAAGCTGTCAAAGTGTGAGTTTTGGCTCGATGAGATCACGTTCCTTGGACACGTGATCTCCCATGAGGGCATCAAAGTTGACCCTAGCAAAATATCAGCGATAACGGAGTGGAAGACTCCGAGGAATGCGCGAGAAGTGAGGAGCTTCCTCGGCTAAGCTGGGTATTACCGGTGCTTCGTGGAGGGCTTCTCATCCATAGCGTCACCGTTAAATAAGCTACTGAAGAAGGAGGTGAAATTTGCGTGGAGAGACGCATGTCAACAGAGTTTTGAGAAACTCAAGAAGTGGCTGACAGAGGCACCGGTGCTAGTGCAGCCAGTGCCTGGCAAGGATTACACAGTTTTCAGTGATGCATCACACAGTGGGCTTGGATGTGTTCTTATGCAGGAGGGCAAGGTTGTGGCCTATGCCTCCCGACAGTTGAAACCTCATGAAGGTAACTACCCTACACATGATTTGGAGCTGGCAGCAGTGGTTTTCGCATTGAAGATTTGGCGGCACTATCTATTTGGTGAGACTACCTACATCCACACGGATCACAAGAGTTTGAAGTACCTGCTAACTTAGAAGGAGCTGAATCTGAGACAACGGAGATGGTTAGAGTTGATCAAGGACTACGATTGCTATATCGACTATCACCCTGGTAAGGCCAATGTTGTGGCTGATGCTTTGAGTCGGAAGACTATGGCAGAACTACGACTCCAGCCGACGTTGGATGGTGAGATCCGTACGGCCCAGGCTACGGATGATTTTTGTGCGAAGACTCGTGAGCTTGTCTCTAAGGGGGGAGAGACAAGACTTCACCATTGATGGTAGTGGAGGGCTGCTCTTTAGGGATCGCTTGGTGGTACCAAACGGTGAAGTGAGAGAACGGCTGTTACGGGAAGCTCATGAGACCGTGTACACCATGCATCCTGGCAGCAACAAGATGTACCAAGACCTCAAGAAGACCTACTGGTGGCCGACGATGAAGCGAGAAATTTCAGAGTTTACAGCTAGGTGCCTGATTTGTCAACAGGTCAAGGCAGAGCATCAGGTACCGAGTGGGTTGCTGCACCCACCAGTCATTCCTGAGTGGAAGTGGGAGAGGATCAAGATGGACTTCGTGATAGGTTTACCCTTGTCGAATAAGAAGAACGATGCCGTGTGGGTCATAGTGGACCGATTGACTAAGTCAGCTCACTTCCTCCCTATCCGACGAGACTTTTCCTTGCAGAAGTTAGCTGAGCTTTATGTTCGAGAAAATGTGAGACTGCACGGAGTGCCTGTATCAATCATCTCAGACCGCGACCCGCGATTTACATCACAGTTTTGGAAGAGTCTTCACAAGGCTCTTGGCACTAAGCTCAATTTCAGCACAGCATTCCACCCTCAGATAGATGGCCAGTCTGAGAGAACGATTCAGATTTTGGAAGACATGATGAGAGCTTGTGTCATCGATTTCGGTGATGGTTGGGAACAGTACGTGCCGTTGATGGAGTTTGCTTACAACAACAGTTACCATGCTAGTATACAGATGGCCCCGTACGAGGCACTGTATGGCCGGCGTTGTAGGACTCCAGTCTGTTGGACCGAACTGAGTGAAACTAAGTTGGAAGGACCCGACTTGGTTCGTGAGGCAGAAGAGAAGGTTCGCGTAATATGAGATAGATTGCGAGCTGCTTCGGATCGTCAAAAATCCTACGCCGATCTCAAGCGAAGGGAGATTGAGTATAATGCGGATGATTGGGTGTTTCTCAAGGTTTCACCGTGGAAGAAAGTGTTGAGATTTGGTAAGAGAGGAAAGTTGAGTCCTAGGTTCATTGGACCGTATCGAGTCAATAAACGCGTAGGACCAGTGGCTTATCGTTTGGAGTTACCTCTAAGACTACAGAAGATTCACGATGTATTCCACGTGTCTATGCTGAGGAGATATCGATCCGACCCGTCACATGTTCTACCTGAGGGAGCTGTCACCCTCGATGAGAGTCTTACATATGAGGAAGAACCCGTACAGATCTTGGCACGTGAAGTAAAGGAACTGAGGAACAAGACAGTTCCCTTGGTCAAGGTGCTTTGGCAAAACCATGCGGTTGAAGAAGCAACCTGGGAGTCCGAGGAGTCCATGAGAGCTCAGTATCCTCAACTCTTTAGTGACCAATGACTCAGGTAAATTTCGAGGACGAAATTCTTTTAAGGGAGAGAGAAATGTAACGCCCCGAAACCCAGCCTATCAGAATTAATTAATTAGGAATAATTAATTAATTATTGAGACGGACCCGGTAGGAATTATGTATATATTTCATTTGGAAATAATGATTATACTGTTATGTAGGGTTCGACAAATCGAATCCAACGGTGAAATCGGATTTGGATTTGGAGTCAGTGGGCCCGGAAAGTGCGTGTGGACCAGGTACGTTTAGTTAATACGGAACCCAAAACCCCAAAAGTATAAATATACTCCTTGCACGTCTAAAACCCTTACGCCCCATACTATTGTTACGTAACTTCTCCCCACTCTCTCACGTCTCTCTCTGCTGCGTCCCACTCTCGCCGAACGGAACAGAGCTGAAGGACGAACACAACAGAGGAAGAAGAAGAAGAAGAAGAAGGAAGAAGAAGAAGGAAGAAGTAGCCGTCGTTCGTCTCCACGCCGCTAGCACCACCTCGGTAATCTTTAATCGTCGAATTCAAGGTGAGTACGTGGTCATCTAACTTATGGTTATATTCGTAGGTTTGAATCTTACGTTCATAGAATCGTTACGGTTGATCTACGTGGTTTTTACGTGAATTGTGCTTTATATATGTCGTTTGTGATTTGGAAAGCATGATTGATGTTAAAATGATTGTGGAATGGTTAGATAATGTTAGGTTATTGATTCATGATCTGTTACGTTTGTTTTCACTGGAACGGATGTTGTCTAAAGGACGAAAACGGAGCTGGTGCAGGTCTGGTGTTCGCTGCGACAGACGGTAGGGGGGGTATCGTTGACACGGTACCTGGCTACCGCCAGCCGCCCTGGTTTCGTTCCTCTCTGTCGGCACCTACTTAGGACGGGACCCAGGTGCCGTGTGGACGGTAGGCTCTATCGTCTGACCGGTGGAGGCTACCGTGATGGGCTACCGGAGGGGACCCCAGCTGACACGGACGGTTCCCCCGTACCGTGGGGATGGTACCCTGGTGCCGTGGGGCCGGTAACCCCTACCGCCAAGGGGTACCGTGAAGTACCTGAACCGGTCTGCGTTTTGTTGTTTGCGTCGAGGATTGATTCCGAGATTTTGTGTGTTGCATGACGGTAAACATAGGTAGTGATGCCCAGCGTTAGGCCGCTAATTGAGTGTATTGAATGTGACGAAATATGTGTAGGATGCATGAACATGCATGTTATAAACTAATGGCGATTAAAGTATGAAATACCTAGAACAAGCCTAGGATCTGACCTGAATGGAAATACAACAACAACAACCCAGTTGGATCCCACTACAGTAGGGTCTGGGGAGGGTGTGTGTACGCAGACCTTGCCCCTACTCGGAAGCAGGGAGGCTGTTTCCAAGAGACCCCCGGCTCAACCTACACAAAAAATATGATAGGGTACACAGTATAACATGGGTAAAACACCAAGTACAATGAAAAGAAAGTTCTACAAGCATTAATAGAAGATTCCAATCAAACACAACACACTACAAAAAACCTCTGTAGCACCGAGTTCCTAACCAGCTACTCTAATCCTAGTTCTCCAAAGGTTCCTATCTAAAGCCATATCCTCAGTCAGGGTGAGAAGTCCTAAATCATGTCTAATCACCTCCTTCCAATTCTTCTTAGGTCTACCCCTTCCCCTACTTCCCCCGATAACCGTAATCCGCTCACATCTCCGTACAGGGGCGTCAGCATCCCGCCGTCTCACATGACCAAACNATCAAACACAACACACTACAAAAAACCTCTGTAGCACCGAGTTCCTAACCAGCTACTCTAATCCTAGTTCTCCAAAGGTTCCTATCTAAAGCCATATCCTCAGTCAGGGTGAGAAGTCCTAAATCATGTCTAATCACCTCCTTCCAATTCTTCTTAGGTCTACCCCTTCCCCTACTTCCCCCGATAACCGTAATCCGCTCACATCTCCGTACAGGGGCGTCAGCATCCCGTCGTCTCACATGACCAAACCATCTCAACCTCGCTTCCCGCAATTTATCTTCCACCGGCGCCATGCCTACCTGACGTCGAATAACTTCGTTCGAAATCCTATCCAACCTTGTCTTCTCACACATCCATCGTAACATCCGCATCTCCGCCGCTTGCAGACGACGCACATGAGTCTTCTTAACCGCCCAACACTCTGCCCCATATAACATAGCAGGTCTGACTATGGATCGGTAGAACTTGCCTTTCATCTTGGGCGAAATCTTCGGGTCACACAATACCCCTGAAGCCAACCGCCATTTGGCCCAAGCCACTCCAACACGATGTCCAACATCCCCGTCTAACTCCCCATCAGCCAGGATTACCGAGCCAAGATACCGAAACCTGTCTACCTTAGGTACTAGGTGAGAGTCAATCCTAACTTCCACATCTGATTATGTTTCCCTGCCGCTGAAACGACACTCCATGTATTCAGTCTTGTTCCAACTTATTCTGAAACCTTTAGTCTCAAGGGCAAGGCGCCATCGTTCCAACTTATCGTTTAGTCCCTCACGTGTATCGTCGATAAGCACAATATCATCCGTGAAAAGCATGCACCATGGGACCCCTTCTTGCACACCTTGAGTTAGGACGTCCATCACCAAAGCGAACAAAAAAGGGCTAAGGGCAGACCCCTGGTGCAACCCCATCCCTACCGATAATGACTCGGAGTCGCCCCCGAAGGTCCTTACCCTAGTCATAGCCCCATCGTACATATCCTTGATCGCGCGAGTGTACGCGATGGGAACTCCTCTCGTCTCAAGGCACCTCCATAAGACCTCCCTTGGCACCCTATCGTACGCCTTCTCGAGATCAATGAACACCATATGAAGGTCCTTCTTCCTAGCCCTATACTCTTCCACTAACCTCCTCACGAGGTGAATGGCCTCTGTAGTCGATCTGCCAGGCATGAAACCAAACTGGTTCTCAGAGATGCATACTCCTTTCCGCACCCTATACTCAATGACTCGCTCCCATACCTTCATGGTGTGGCTAAGTAGTTTGATGCCTCTGTAATTCTCGCAGCTCTGGATGTCACCTTTGCCTTTAAACAGGGGGACCAAGAGACTCTCCCTCCACTCATCCGGCATCCTTGCTGTCCGGAAGATGACATTGAAGAGTTTGGTTAACCAAACCCACGCACCACGACCCGCATTCTTCCAAAACTCCACCGGAATCTCATCTGGTCCCAAAGCTCTCCCACTACGCATCCCGCGGAGAGCCCGAACCACCTCTTCCAGGCAAATGCGCCGGCAATATACACGAGACACTCTGGACTGCCCCAGCTCATTAAGAACTAGCCTCTGCTCTCCTCCCGCATTTAAGAGTTCACAAAAGTACTCCCCCCAGCGCTTAGCCACCTTGGCAGTCTCAAGTAACACTCTACCATCACTGTCCTTCACGCAACGCACGTGGTCCAGATCTTGGGCCTTCCTCTCACGCACTTTAGCAAGCCGGAACAGTGTATTAACACCGCCTTTCTCCTCAATATCCTTGTAGAGGCGTTCAAAAGCGGCATTCTTTGCCCTTGTAACCTCTAACTTAGCTTCTTTACGTGCCTTCTTATACTCCACTCGTAACTTACCTGAATGGAAATAGTGACAAGATATGTCATAAGTTAGTAAGTTAGAGTCATGTGGTACCTGCTGGGTCCAATGGCTGTCCGGGTAAAAACGTGTACACGGGGATCTAAGAACTGTTGTTCCGAAGGGGACAGGGATCTCACCCACCTAACGAGGAAGTCCTGAGTTGGTTGAGCTTGACCTTCGTTCCGAAGGGGAAGGTCATGACTCCATAGGCAAGTCGTTTACAGTTAAGCTTTTACCTTGTATAGGTTAAGAGCCGAGCACAGGAAGAAAGTAAAACAAAGTAAACAAAGAAGAAAGTATTCTTTATTATTTACTATGTCCATTAACATCCTATGATGAAATGCTTGCGATGTATGTTATACAATGTATGATGTGATGAATATGTGAGCATGATTGTGTGCATGATATCGTATGAGGATATGGGCTAGTGGGATCATCTATGGGTGTAGCTATATGTTAGATATTTCTCACTTAGCTTCAATGCTGAGCGTGTAGCCCTTTTTCCTATTTGCTACACGTAGGTAATCCAGGTAATGATGAGCTTGGAGCCAATCCCAGAGGGCGATGAGGAGGCTGAGATGTGCGTGGCGGTGTTCGACGACTTTGAACTCTTATTAATTACTTAAATAACTTATTACTATTTCAGGCATGATTCCCAAGTTGTGTTTTGGATTATGAATTTAGCTTCCGCAACCGTTTTGATTTACTCTGATGGATAATTAAATATCGTTTTGAATTAAATGTTTTAAATTGATTCCGAAAATTAATGTGTTTGAATACCAATTTGGTAGCAACCCGATCCGCGGATCCTTGTATTCGGGTCGCACGGGTTGGGGTGTTACATTTTGGTATCAGAGCATATGGTTTTAAAACCGATCTTCGGATCATAAATAGATGGTTTCCAAAAGCTACACCACATCTCTTGCGACTCATCAGCCCCGGGAAGGTAATAAGTTTATGCCTTTGTTTGTTATGTGCTAATGACTGATTAGGAATTTATGTGTGTAAATTTAGAATGAGTAACGCATCGACGCACGCTCATGACAACACCCAGCACCTGGGTGACGACCACAACGATGCCGAGACAGAGGCATCGAGCTTCGTGCCACAGCAGAATGCTGGGCAGCCCAACGTGCCACTGAATGCAGGAGATAATCAGAATTTCGGGAATCCGCCCGAGAATGTCATGCTTGCTTTCATGACCCAGTTCCTACAGCAGATGGCCAATGCGCCGATGTTCCAACAGCCTCAGCCGCCACGACGGCACATCACCTTCAAGACGCTGAAGGATAACGGAGCGGAGGAGTTCCTTGGGGATAGAGTGGCCGAACCTCAAGTGGCTCTTGATTGGATTGAACAGGTGACTAGGGTGCTCAATGACCTGGATGTACCGGTTGTAGATCATCCAAAGTTGGCATCTTAGCTACTCCGCAAGGGAGCATACGAGTGGTGGAAGCGCGTTGACAGTGAACCGCAGACGCCAAAACCTTGGACATGGGCATATTTTGACCGGGCTTTCAAGAAGGAGTACATTCCAGCTCGATTCCGAGAGGAGAAGCGGTCAGAATTCCTGGAGCTGGAAAATTAATGTGTTTGAATACCAATTTGGTAGCAACCCGATCCGCGGATCCTTGTATTCGGGTCGCACGGGTTGGGGTGTTACACCGCCCATCACCATCGTCGTCCACCACCACCGCCACCATCTACCGCCATCACCACCACCGTCCACCACCACCACCGTTAACGTCCACCACCACCCTTCAGCACCACCCTCCACCACCACCACCACAATCGTCCATACACCACCACCGTACACTACCACCATTAATTTATATAGCAGTCTACAGACATTAAAAAACAAACAGTCTTCTTCTTGCAGACCGCAGACCTTCGGTCCACCACTTCTCCTGCAGATGTCTACAGTAGTGGTCCGCAGACTGCAGACCTTTTCCTGCAGAAATAACAAACACCCCCTAAATGGTTATAAAGGGTCCATACCATCAAATTTCTCTTTGATGTTGAGCATTACCCTCCAATCAAAGGGGCAATCACTCCTAGGTTTTAAACCCCAAAAGTTCTTACCCTTGATATATCTGGAGTGCACCCATTTGAAAAGTTCAAATACTATTTAGAGTAAATTCCATAAAATGTCCTCAATTATAGTTCGTTTTACACTTTTACATATTTAATCCCTACATATCAAATATAAATAATCTAGTCCCTAACTATTATATTGTTTTCCACGAATGGTCCTTTGTTAACATTTTCGTTAAAAACGTGAATAAAATTGTAAATTCACGCTTCTCTCTCTCCTTATTTAAGCTTCCTCTCTTCACTCGCACTCCTTTCCTAAACCTGTTACTGAGTTTGAAGCTTTGACCCAAATCTGAAATCATTCCTCCTCTCTCGATTGTTCGTCAACCTGGTGGAATCCAAAATCGAAACTAGTAACTTTCATGAATGAGTTTTAAGATTTGTTTTCTTTGTAATTTCTTGAGACTAACCCATAAAATTCATCCATGAAGGTTATAGGTTTTGATTTTGAGTTCCACCAGAAATATGAACAATTGAGAGTGGAGTGATCGATTCGGTTTTGGGTTTAGAGCTTCAAACCCAGTGACGGGTTCGAGAGTAAGTACGAGAGGAGGGAGGAAGCTTAATTGAAGAGAGAGAGGAGTGTGAATATACAATTTTATCCATGTTCTTAACGTAAATATTAACAAAGGACTATTTATAAAAAACAATATAATAATTGGAGACTAAATTATTGATATTTCATATGTATAAACTAAATATATAAAACGACTGAATACTTTTATGAAATTTCCTCAAACATTAGATTCTAGAAGTGGAACTTGGTATTAGCGGCATGGCGGCATCAATCCTCCCCAGAACCCGCAGTCAATCGCTTATCTCCTCCCAAGCGCTGACTGAATCATTATCCCACAAAAGACAAATCTTTTCAAACATCAATTACTCAATTAGGGTATCCTGGGGAATTTTAGGTGGACTTGGATTCCCACGCAAGGGCCCGTTGATGGGAAGGTGCGATCTATAAATACTGGCTACTCGCGGTCTTTTCCCGTTCGCCGGAAGATTGGGAATCAAGGATTATCAAAGATCATCTTGATACCAGAGCTGACCCAATTCGCCGGAGCTTGTTAATACTATCGCAAATAAAGGAGTATTCTTCGTCTGTTCCTAGAGTTTTGAGGGATTTACGGTTATAGACGATTAATTTGAGTTCCCAGGATAAATCGTCGAATTGCTGATTGGTGGCCAATTTTTAACAGGTATTGAAAACCCTAGTTTATGATTTTGCACACTTTTTATTGGTTTCCCCCCAATGACTGTCAAAGAAGAGAACGATTTTCTTCCTTATATGGGTTACCAAGAAACCTGCTATACAATCTCGTCCTGGGGTGCTATCAGTTCTGCTGTATCAGAAGAAGGAACACTCTTGGTAACCGGAGATTTGTGTGGGTCTACATCCAGCTTGAGGCACAAGGCAGACTTTGCTATTGATAATTATGATTCATGGTTTCTCCTATGCCTTAAGCGATATGAACTTGCAATCGCTTTGTTACTTCAGCGATTGGTGTTTCTATTTTTTAGAAGAATTATCTATTTCTTGAAAGTGTGGGATCTTCTTGATCTTTGGGGTTAAATCAAGACTTGGATCACAAGAAGGCAGAAGCTAAATTTAGCGAATTTGTTAGTTAATGTCATCCTTAGACCTTTAGATAGCAGCCTTAGGTGGCTAAATCACAATGAATTGAAATATGGAATCCAAGGGGGTTTCCATTTCTCTCTGCGATGATATGTTTGATTTTGTGAGCCCGTGACTGCTGGAGAATTATTCAAGAGCTCCGACAGAACTGCAGAATGTGTTATCTCTCGTTACTTATAGACAGAGATGTGATAGATCCGTAACATCTGCAAGTAGGAAGTAGCGCAGTCTCCCCTCTAAAATGCCCACTACTGATTTTTGGGGTTATCCTGCTCCTATTTCTTATTGGTCACTTTATGCAACTGAAGTTTTTATGCTGTTGGAACTTGGTGGAAATCTATGAAGGTGTTTACTCAAGGTTGATTTCATTTGGGAGATATGTTATGAGTTAAAGCTCTTCCTCTCCTCTTTTGTTGGATTTTGTAGTTGATGGAGGACGAGGCTTCTTGTTGTGATTGCACTTTAGTTATTTTGAATTTCTGATGTACTATTGATGATCCATGTGCCCAGCATTTTTCGTCTTTTGCTTGTGTAAGTGAATGTGTTTTAACATATTCATGTGAGGAGGTCAAAACATTTGTCATACCAGTCTGATCAAAAGAAATCCAGATCCCTAAGGATTTATTTCAAAAGAGCGCCGTGAACCAGTGGAATTTGGATGTGTTAATTTTTAAACTCCATCTGCGTTAAGGTAGATGCCTGAGGCGGATTGTTCTTGCAGTGTTTGTTTACACTTTTCAGTTGGATATGGATTATTTTATGTATTTATGTTTATATGTATGTGCCTGTGGAATTCTTGTGAAACTTCTATTTACTTTTTTACTTACAATTACAGGTTATCCTGTGTGGATTCTTGTGTTCATGAATATTCTTATCAAGATAGAATTGGATAGAGTATTTGGCTTCAGACACTAAGAGTTATTCATTTCTATCTGCAGATATGGTTTGCCCGGTGGGTGTTAAAACAAAGTCTATGGTTCCTGATGTAAGTTCGAAGATGGTCAGAAAAGGAAGGAGAACTACGAAATCAAATGCTAGAAGCATTAACAGTGATGTAAAATTGGTCAATAGGAGTCCCAAGAGGGTAGGAGACTTCTCGTGCTCTGATTCATATAAGGTATCAGTTTTTTAAAAACCTATTCGTTCTGATTGCTCTTTTCATGAAACATAATTTTTGACACTTACCTTTTGTGTCAGTTTGGCGAAGCTGTCAATAGGCATCATGTTTCTTCTAACAATGTTGAGCACGTACCAATCAAGAAAAGGAGGCACTTGATTCAATCTTCATCGCCATGTCAGCTTCCTTCTCGTTGTTGTGAAGAAGCCGTGCCTTCTGAATTTTTCCTGCCTACACAATCTGAAGAACTTGAGTTGTTAGGTCAAATGAGTTCAGACTCATATTCCAGTGGGCAGTTTCCTAGTGTCATCAAGGGAAACATCATGGATGATAAGTTGACTGAGGTCACAAATGTGGGTTATTACAAAGGTGGAGATTCCTCAGGCATCACAATTCTGGCAGCAGCTGCATGTATTAGTGGCATTGATGATACATCTAGCGAGAAGTTAGAACATAATAATTTGGATTCAGCTGGAGGAGAAATGCTTCCAGACACCAAGGTGGTTGAATGTGCTGCTTCTCCTAAAAAGTTCCCAATTGTTTTGGAGGATCTTAGTGAATGCATAGAAGACGGGGAATTCGTAAGATCCATTTCTCCGAAAATTGACAGACAGTATTGGGACCTTAATACTTCAATGGATTCATGGGAGCAGCCTAACAATGATGATGCAGTTTGGAGTAATGTCTCAAACAATGTCATTTACAATGAAAAGCGAAGTGAAGAAGTCAAGACAAACATTCCCAAAGACCATTCGAGTTCTGATACTTTTCCAGATAATAACAATGTTGAGAAGTGTATACCTTTGCTTGCGGACACAGAAGAATATAAGAGTGGGACAGTTTCTTCTCTTAATGCAACCTGTGTGGAGGAGATTTCTGCTTCAAACATGGGGCATCTTAAAGCTATAGTACGTGAGATTCCCCATCCTGATGAATCTGCATCAAAAGTCTCTGCATCATCTGTAACTGGTGAAGTGAATGGGAAACAGGATATTGTTTCTGCTCCTATTACCATTATAACCGATTCTGGTGTGCAGTTTGAACGTAAGGAACTCATTCCCAATTGTGCTGCTAACAGCTGTATTTCTAACGATGAGGATCAAAGTCTGCAACAATCCAGGGACTTGAAAAAACACGGTCTCCCGGGACCACCACATACTGATGGTACTGCTTCTCAGTCCATGAAGTTCAGGATGAGCTCATCTCTTGAAGAAGATGCACACAACAATCCAGATGTTTCACATGGCGATCTGGTTAAACATAATGAATATGTGCCCGGATTTCAGGCTGGTAATGATGACTCTCTCTTTGAACATGGGAAATTACAAGGACCAGTTTTGTTTCCATGGGAGGAAAATGATGGTGATTATGAGATGGAATGTGTTGACTATGGATCAGACGGAGATGATTTGCTGCATTCTTCAGGTGATCACAAGGATGCAGAACTTGTTGAAGGTAGTTCACAAGGTATAGAGACTATAAATTCCTCTGCTAGCATATGTCGAGAGGCCGATTTGGGTAAGACCAACCCTTTGAAAACTTGCTCCAAGCAATCCTTGAGAGGCGACTCCCATCTTATCGATGTTTGTAGGCAGAATGAATCAGGTGCAGCAGATCATGCTGGCATGAGCATGGAGGGAAATATTGACCCGATAGAGGGGCAGGGTACTGATAATATGGACTCACTTGGATTCTGTGAGGCATTTGACAAAGAAACTGGTTCACGCACACAGAAGGGTAGGTTGCAGTCACACATTGAAGTCCCGCTGCGTTTGGATGCAACAGAAAGTAAGG